ATATAAAGGAAAAAATATATAAATAATAGTGCATATTATAATTATTTTAGCTATCCTGCTTGACTAGTACAACGCCCGTGTATTACACGGGTGCTTGCTAATTTTTTCCTTAAAATCTAAAATTAATGAGAAAAAGTAGTTGAAAATTTAAATACCTTTTATTAAAATATATATATATTATTATATATTTAGTATGACACTGTTTATTTGTGTGACTTACTTGTGTTATATTATAATATTTTTTTTAACTTACAACATATAACTACATTAAACATAAATATATCAACTGAGAAATAATTTTATTTTTCTAATAAATTTTAATAAATATTATTATTTTTTATTATTATGTAGATAAATATAATTTATTTATTATATATATACATTATGAATGTCAAATCGAAGATCATGAAAAGATGATTAATTTGATATATTATATATGTAAAACCGATAAGAAATACAAAAGTTATCAACTTTTAAAATACATTTATAATTCAATAGCTAATTAACGGAAACAAATACAAAGTCAGGGATATATTAGTCACTTAGTGTCTCAGTATGTAAAATTACAAAGAGTTAAAAGGTTATATTAGTACAAGTGATATTAAAATATCTAAGTTAGCTAAATAATATTTATGGAATGTCCGAACCTAGATTATTAATTATTAATATATTAATATTATTTGTTCAAACCTAATTACAAAACATGATTTTTCGCCAAGTAAGATTTGGAAGCACCAGAAGCAGCCACGTAGGCTCAGCGCATTCAGGAATTATATATAGGGGGAAGGGGGATTCCAAGTATAAGCTTTATAATTAGGCCAATTTACACGTATCCTACACGTTTTAGAAGTATTTGTAATCTTACGATTAATTAAAATTATTTAGCAAACCTACGAAAGGAAGGATTCTTATTTGTATTAATGCAATATTATCTGTTACGAAACATGGACCCAATCTGTTCCTTTTTTTAAGGAGCATTTAATAACCAAAGAAAAGAAAACATGGAAATAAATTATAAGAATAAGCTATCGCGTAACAGAAGCTCGACGATTAAGTCTGTAACATCTTTTCAAAATTTAAAACTTGAAAAAGCAGTGAGAATGAGTACGACGCCTGCCCTACTGTGATCAAGGTTTATCGTTCATTACAACTAATCCATATACGGTAGATAAAATATTTATTCATATAGTATATAATAAGTGTATGCGTTTTATCATGATGGAAGCTGCAGTAATTCACGGTTAAGTTTATGCTATGCGTCTTTTTTTTTTTTTGTTGCAGATGGATTCTCCCATGATGATAATCATTCATCATAGTGGTGAGTGGAAGCATACTGAATACAATAATTTTCAGGTGTCGGGTGTTTTGGTTCAACAACAATGCTGCTACGACGAGTTGTGCAACATTGTCATGGAAGAACTTGGAGTGACATCAACAGATTGTAGTTTGGAGTTGAAATACCAACTTAAGATGGATATCCACCGATGCGTATAAAAGACGATAGAAGTCTTAAATTCTACGTCGCGGCGAAGTCAAGGGAACAAGACTACACGAAGTACCCTGTATGTGTTGTAGTAAACTCTACATTTGAGGTGGCGAGGTCGGACGAGAGAGCCACGACTTATGAAGAAAATGATGTGAACACATGTATAGCTCCTTTGAGGTACACTGCTTTTGACAATTATGTTGAAAATCCGAAAGGGCCTATGAATTTTATGGCGTCTGCACGCAAAGTTGCTGAAGATATGGTAGCAGACGCCGCATATACTGAACATAAACTGGACATATACCAGCCTGATGATAATATTGTTTCGATCGAGGATCAGTTGACCTATGATTTGATTGTGGGGGTTTCATTCAAGGATAAAATCAATTTTGCAGAGGTTTTTAAGTGTCCATGCAATTAAGAATCAATACCAGTTCCGTGTTGAAAAATCGTGTAATAAACAGTATTATGTGAAGTGTATGTCTGGCGATTGCTCATGGTTTGTAAAAGCATCTCGTGTTGGTCATTCTAGCACCTTCAAGATAAGAGAGCTCGAAACCGAACATAAATGTTCATTTGATGTTCGAGCAAGTGGTCGAAGGCAAGCCACTTCTAATGTTGTTTGCAACCTTATCAAGTCGAAGTTCATGAACAATAAGATTTCATATACGGCTGCGGACATCATAGATGACATGCAAATCAGATACGGTATAAACTTGTCGTATCACAAGGCATGGAGATTAAAGCGCAAAGCTATTGATGAAGTTCAGGGAAATGCTAGTGATTCTTATGATTGTGTTCAACAATATCTTGAGAAGTTACGTGCAGCAAATCCAAGAAGTATACTGAAGTTGTGTGCAACTCCGGATCAGAATTTTTTGTACGTGTTCATGTCTCGTAGTGCATCTGCCAAAGGATGGAAGTATTGTTGTCCGATTTTTGTTATGGATGGGACATTTCTAGCATCGTCATATTAAGGAATTTTGTTAACAGCATGCTGTCAAGATGCGAATTTTTACATTCTACCACTTGCATTTTGTGTTGTTGATTCGGAAAATAATCAGTCATACTTATGGTTTTTCAACAAATTACAAACACTGATTGGTGACAGAGATGGGTTATGCATCGTTTCGGATGGACACGAGAGTATAAAGAATGTTGTAGAAAAGGTAAATATAATTTTATATTACGTATATATCTCGTTTATTTTTGGTATATTGCTTGTTTATATTACGTATATGTGATAAATATATATATCGTTTATGGTGCTTAGTTTGTGATAAATATAAATTATGGTAATTTTAAAACAGAAATTTATGTTTTCTATATGTTAAATTATATGTCTCATGCATTGTAAGTATATGTACAGTATATGGACAGTAGTTGTTTATGGACAATAGGTGTTTGTATGGACAGGTGTTGGACAATATATGAAAATTATATACAATTTTTTTTATGGCATGTTATGTACAATATATGTAAATTTTAAAGGCATGGTAATTTGCTATATAGACAGTTTATGAGAGAATTTAATGTTGTTTTATATACAGTTTATTTACAGTATATGTACAACATCTGATATGCTATCTGAGTGTTGATTTTATTGTAATGTGATCTTTCTATAGGTATTTCCGAACGCAGCACACTGCTTTTGCACGTATCATATATCAAACAACATTAAGAAACATTATAAAAAGGAAGCGCAAGCGGTAAAAGATTCATTTCACCAGCAGCAAGGGCCTATACAGTTGAGGAGTATGATATGCACATGTCTGAGATAGAAAAGCTGAATCCGGAGGTAATAACGTATCTGGAAAAAATTGGAGTACAAAAGTGGGCAAGAATTCATTGTCCAAAGAATAAGAACTTCACAATGACATCTAATGCTGCTGAAACAGTTAATTCAGTGACAAAGTCAATTCGTGATCTTCCAATAACAACATTGTTAGAGGCGTTGAGGGAAATGCAACAGAAGTGGAATGTTGCCAACAGAGAGGAAGCGAAGGCGACATTTACTACACTTGCTAAAAAGCCCCATAACATGTTGGAAAATAATTATAAGGCAGCATCGAGGTTTTCGGTAAGACATGTATCATGTACATATACTATTTATTTATGTTATATATAATGTTTATAAAATAATTTTATTTTATTTTATTTTTTTTTTTGCGTGTGTGTGTTTACCATAGGTTCAAAAGGCAAGTGAAAAGATCTTCAAGGTGATAGCTGATGGAAAGGCATATATAGTGGATATAGATACGAAGACTTGCACTTGTAACCGATTCCAAATAGATGAACTCCCATGCCCACATGCTATACGCGTGATAAAGTCTCTGCACTTGGATTCAATACCTTTTTGTTCAGTGCACTATCTAACATCAACTATGTTGGCTACGTATGATGAAGCGGTCATACCTGTTGAAGGAAACTCGTATGTTACTAATGATGTGCACTCGACGCAACGACGAATAAATCCTCCAAATGCTAAAGTTAGGCCAGGACGGCCAAGAAAGCAAATATTCAAGTCGGGATGGGAGCACAAGTCGAAGAACAAATGCGGCAGATGTAATGAGAAAGGTCATAATGTGAAAAATTGTAGGAATCCATTCAAGTAAAATTCTATGGAGGTATCTAGGAATTTGTCTGATTGTAATCCCCATCCTCATGTAGATAATTAGTTAATTAAATATTAGATTTATTAATATTTAATTAACTAGTTTTTCATATCAAAGTTTAAATGCAGTATTAACTATATATATATATATTATATAACCTGGAAGCAGTTATCAAGAACATGTCTTGTAACAATTTCAATACAAAATAAATGTTGAGCTACATCTATTTATTATATACATATAAACTAAACATAAACAGATCAATATATAATTCATAACAGTATACATCCTATAAAATGGTAGGTATATAAATATAAATATGTTCTATTTTAATATGATGGATTTTATATTATAATAATCTCAACTATCAGTTATGAATTGTGAAACATGATGTGATATAAAAATATCAAGTATTTGTACAATTATGCTCAGCATAATCATGAAATAAAATATACAATTGCACTGGACAAATGTTTGGTGTGTAATCTACATTTACGTGTTATTGACTACATATACGTTTCATTTCAAGATGTTAAGAAAAAAACAAAAGTTTTATTAACTACACATACATTTGATGTAAGAAAATATACATACACCACATCATTAGGTGAAGTAATTAAAATTTAATCAAAATCATATTTTAAATAGATGGTACATATACCTCTAATACTGTCATACGAGGAAAAAAAAAGAAATGAAAAAATGCTGCAACAACTAATAAACAAATAATGTAAGCAGATCAATCAAGAAAAATGTCATCCAAAAATTACAAAATACCAACAATTAAACGTACCTACAAAGCAAAAGTAAAAATTTTGTTTCATGTTCAAGGTAATAGAGGATAAAATGAGTCTGCCAATGCTCAAAAAAAAAAAAAATAGAAATTCCAACAAAGTGAGTCAAGCTAATAGACTAAAACGGACGTCATCGGGCATTGATCCGGGAGGGTCATCATAACTTTCATAGCCATTGCTCTGCTTCATTCTACCGTGTGTGTACAACAAGTAGGTATACCTTTGTCGCTTGATATCAACATTAAACTTCTTCGTAGTAATGTCAACATCGGTTATGAAGTGCTCAGCGTAAGATGCAACGAAAACACCACAATCGCTGCATTTAATAAATATAAAAATACATATTACAATCCAAACATTTAACAGAAGGTCGCTATAATTTTTAATTTATATTTACTAGTAGGGTCTACTAACCTCTCCCGTTGTTGTGTGATGTTGGCCGCCATCAAAACCTCGAATGGACTTTTAACGTCTGTTGGTATGCGACCCCCAGCATCAGTATTGACGTCAATCCTTTTTTCATAAAATTTCACCAAGGCAAGAAAAATTGGAAGCAATCTAACATACGCCTGCACACTTTCTAAAACAATCTCATCAACTTCAACTGACCGGTACGAGTTATAAACCCAAAAATTCATATTGCTTAATGTCAATATACCCAGTATCCAATGACCAATACCATTGACTTCTACGTGCATTGGAAACAAGATGTGGTCAACATCAAACCATGACTTTCCGCATATAAGTCTATAACCCATAATGTAGTCAGTGATAATATCATGAACACTGCATTGAGCAGTATTGCAGGACTGTGACAGGTAGACAACATATAACGACTTTATGTGTTGGTCAAACATCACATCAGTCGTCGTGTACCTAACCTCAGCACTAGTACCATACACACCAATCTTCCGTAGGTAGTAGAACAATACATCCATGTGCTGTTAATGGAAAAATATTTTAAAACCAAAAAAAAAATAATAATAATACTATATAGAGAATTATGTATGTACATATGAACATAATGAATAAACGAAACGCTAGAAATGAAGGAATATTACTTTGTTAACACCCTGACTCGTAAAGGGTGTAAAACCAATTTTTATCACATATAACGGCAACATTAAAATCAAACGGTGGTTTCAGAACTTTGGTTCTCACACCAAAGCGAACGTACCTGTTGAATTCGTTAGTTGTGTCAGAATAGGTATAAATATTAATATACGTCACATAAACAAGCAATAAAATAAAATGACCATTTATACTGAATAGTATGATGTCTCAAATACTATAAAGATATACAGTTCAAATACTTTTCATAGTTCGTCCATCGACAAGATACACTGGCTATCTAAATGTCAATATAAAGTGTTCATATAATGTTCATATGCTGCATATACACTGTACTCAAACAAACCATCAACTGGGGGTTCAAAAAGTTGTACATATACTGAATATAAATTATATATAAACTGCAAATAAAATGTCCAATAAAGTGTCTATAAAAACAAATCTAACTGACTTTAAAATTTACTTGTACTGTACATAGTCTGGCCATAAACTGTTCCTATAATGTTCATATGTTGCATATGCATGAACAGTTGTACAAAGTTGTACATAACCTGCCCATAAACTGTTCAAAGAACGTTCAAAGTTGCACATATATTGAACAGAAAATGTTTATAAACTGCAAATAAAGTGTCCAATAAACTGTCTATAAAAACAAAGCTGACTTTAAAATTTAAGTATACTGTACATAAATAGATCAAGTAATGAGCATATAATGTATAACGACCAATAATGGTGAGCTACATCTTAACAGATCAACTGACTGTAAAATTTACGTATATTGTACGTATACTGTACATAAACAAATCAACTAATAAATGGTGAGCAACATCTATTTATTATATTCATATAAACTAAACATAAACAGATCAACTAATGAGCATATAATGTATAAAGACCAATAATGGTGAAGAAGTGATATTTATTGTCTTGTCAAAATAGAAACATACACCCACATGAGCATGGAACAAAACGAATCATATACAGAAAGATAAAACAGATTTAATTTTTTTTGTTCTAAATTTTTTGTTTCGTAACCGTCTTTAAACTTGTGCGCTGTCTTGAGCATACCCGTCATATACCACTTCACAAAATCGCTTGTCCGCTCAGATTGTTCCCAGAAATCAACGTCAAACGGACAAGATTTTGTTCGCGGAATTCCTTTCCTCACACAACGACATTTCTTGAGTTTTTCTATTGTCTTTGAAGTCCCCACACTCGTCAGTATTTGTGGGTTTGGTACGAGTACAACGTCGTAGCAAGAAGGTTCTGCTTCGTTTGTCTTTCCAAGTTCTCCAGTTGGCATCTCGTGCACAACTTTTGTTGTGATCTCCTGAAAAAAAAAAAAAAGAAAAAAAGTTGAATATATGTGTTGTAATGAAAATGGTTGTTTTTTGTATTATTCGAATCAAAATATATATAAAATTTCACCATTGGATTTTCCTGTGGTGGTTTGTTGTTCTCTTTTGATGGTTCTATGGGTGTGAGACCTAAATAAAAGGACGGCTGAGAACTAATCAATGCCTTTCCAACATCTGCCACCATCTGGACATCAACTTTGGGGGGTGCAAGATCCTAAAAAATTTGATTAAAAAAAATCATTAGAATAATATATAGACTAACTTGCGTTGATGGCTGAGTTATACTTAATATAGTGAACATAATTAACATGATTATTACCGGTTCATTGCCTTTTGATGCATTCCTCAATTTTTCCTCCGTACTTCTATCAACTTCCTCA